TATTGATTAATGCTTTTCAGAAGTAGGCATCCTCCGTACATATGGGTAGATACAGATCTCTCGTCACCAGCAGCAGACAGAATAGAGGGAGGTCATTTCACCTGCTGCTCATATCTGTCACCACTGGGCTTCTGGGTTGCCAGGCTACCCCAGTGGATTGTGTGGGACTAGAAAGACTGTTTTCAAGCTGTGATTGGAATAGTCTGCTTATTTTTTCCTAACAGTAACTACTGCTATGAGGATACGAGATGAGAGAGACAAGCTCATTCAGTTCTCTTACAAACTATGAAAATCTGTCCCTTCCTGCAGGAAGGGCCCCCTACCTCATTTACTATCTCCACATTCTCCCAGTGGCCTCCCAATCCATTTCATATTAGCCATTAAATAAAGAAATGTTATATTCACAGCAAATGTCTTCTGGCAAGTCCTTATGGCATCGAAGGCAGCCCAAATAAAACACAGGACCATGCAGAATGGGGAGAAGTAGTCTTTAGGCGGAAACGTAATAAATAAGGGGGAAAAAATACATTAGATTTCTAACTGCCTCTGAAAGGTCAGCATCAGGGTGTTAGAGTGAGAAAAAGGATTGAGATAAGAAGACAGAGAAAAATGGATCGTCTTTATGGGCTTTGCAATGGATTAAATAAATAAGCTGAGCAATGATAGCAAGAATAAGCTGCAGCAAGTATCGTGCTGTTACTGACCACAAGTGAGTGTGGACTCCTCAACTGAATAAGAAAACAGCAGGCGCTCTCTAGGGAGGATTCGTGACAAAAATAGCAACATACATTCATTATGAATCACATATCCTGCCTGAAATAAGAGGAAACCTTTTAGGAAAGTTGAAGAATTCCCTAGGCCCTCATTACTGTAGTCAACATAAAGAAGAGAAGAAAACTGGAGGAAGCTCTTCTTTCCATTTGAATGAAGAATGAGGATAAAAACCACAGTTTGGCTTATTGGAGCTTCTTGGCTTTTTCAAGAATGTTTTCAATTCGTCAAACCTAAGAGCACTGTTGTGAAAAGCACAACACTTTTATCTTTAATTTATGATGTCATGTTTACTTGTATTTATGGATGTCCCCACGTGTTTTTGCAAATCTGTCAGAGTCATTTGAGACCTGGCAAGCATTTGACAGAGGATTATAGAAGCAAAGAGCCGTTAAAGATCTTAGTTAGGTTACAATCCACTCCATTTACTTGATAAATGGAGATAAAGTCCAATAGGAATTAACTGATTTTCACAAGTTCACTCCAAAGGACAAATGAGCCAAAATTTAAATGGCTACTGATTTCAAATCATTGTGATTCCCATTTTGCTTCTATCTTGACTCTTAATTAATTATCTTTGAAGTCTAACAGTTTGCAAATTAACTTCTTTTAATTTGGATTTCCATATACATTTTTTTTTTTTATTTAGGGACGCTGGGATTGATCACAGAGGCAGTTTACCACTGAACTACATCCCAAGCCTTTTTTATTTTTTATTTTAAAACAGTGTCTCACTAAGTTGCTTAGGGCCTCACTAAGTTACTGAGTATGGCTTTGAATTTACAATTCTTCTGCCTTGGCCTCCTGAGTCACTGGGATTACAAGCATGCACCACTTTGCCCCAATCCATACAAAGATTTTGAATATATTTTTTTCTCCTTTTTCAAGATCCTACTCTGTGAGTGGTACCTAAAAATTACAGTTTATTATACACCCAATCTATAAACACTTGCACACTATTATGACACTCCATTCCTGAGCTTTGTTCCCGTCCTGGAAAACAAGTATGTTTATTCTGATGTCTTGACCTTTCCTGTCTGTTCTTTGGAAGTCATCCATATCCACACTTTTGGAATAAGAGGCACAATAACTTATTTGATTAAAAAAATCAAAGAATACAATCAATCAATGGGCAAAGGAACTAAAGACACTTTTCAAAAGAAGAAATATGAATGTTCAACATCTCCAGCAATTAGAGAAATAAAAATTGAAACTACACTGAGACTGCATCTCACTTCAGTCAGAGTGGCAATAACCAAGAATATAAGAGCAATAAATGTTGGTGAGGATGCGGGGAAAAAGGTCCACTCATACATTATTGGTGGGACTGCAAATTGGTGCAGCCACTCTGGAAAGCATTGCAAGTTCCTAAAAAAATAAAAAAATAACTAGGAATGAAACCATTTAACCCAATTATTCCACTGCTTGGTATATATCCAAAGGACTTTAAAATTTCATACTACTATGACACAGCCATATCCATGTTTATAGAAGCACAATTCACAATAGGTAAGCTATGGTACCAACATAGGTGTCCTTCAAAAGGTGAATGGATAAAGTGTCCATATATACACAATGGAGTATTATGCAGCCATAAAGTAGAAGAATGGCTTTATGACATTTTCCCATGAAAGGATGGATATGGAGACTGTAATGCTAAGTGAAATAAACCAATCCCCCAAAACCAAAGGTTGAATATTTTCTCTGATGTGTGAAAACTAACCCATAATAATGGTGGGAGGTGAATAGAAGTTCCATGGAGTAGACTAAGATGGATGAAGGGAAGAGGTAGGGAATGGGAAAAGGAAAAACAGTGAAGTGCAGCCGACATCATTTTCCTATGTACACATATGAATATATCACAGTGGATCTCACCATCATGTATATCCACAAGGAATTAATTTTAAAAATAACCATGGGTAAGTGGCAGAAAGATCAATAGAAGGAAGGGAGCAGGGGTGTAGGGAGGAAAAAAGGAGGAGAGGTACTGGGGGTCTCTCAGAGTTAGAGAATTAGAATAAGACATATTCTATGCTTTTATAATTTTGACAAAATGTCATGGATAGCTAAAAAGAAACAATAAAATGTAAATAAATTTTGCATCTCTGGTTAGTGGACAACCTGACTATATTTAATCACCAGAATGATATAATAAATATTGTACAAAAAAACTGGCACAATAAACATGATATTGGATAAGACTGTTTGCAAAAATGATTGCATACACTTGAAAGCATGGAAAGAAAGCTCCTCATGACTGGAAGACTTGCTTCTGAAGCAGACACACTGCTAAAGAAATGAAGTAGGATTAGGGACGTGAGCTTTGAAAACTGATAGAGGTAATTTTTCCTCCCCATTTCTAATGATGTGAATTGCTCTCCCAATTATTGAGAAATAGAAATGTATTTAATCAGTCCGGATCCAAGGAAGTGCTTATAATTTGCCTAAAATCTTCTCTAGTTCTTTGTTCACAGAATTTTAATAGGAGAGCCAAAGAAACATTTCTGCAATCAGGGTTCCAATATTCAAATCTATACTTTTTTAAACAGCAATAAATCTAAGTAATTTTACACACATCCACCTATATATGTATATTCATAAATTACCTGTGTTTGTTCACTTCACTTAATATTTGTAGCGTTATTAGGCATGGTTTCTATTCTAGAAAAATTAAATGATATGTGTGCTTTCTCTCTGTTTCATAACAATATAATTAAAAATAGAATACATGGGCTGGGGTTGTGGCTCAGCAGTAGAGTGCTCAACTAGTACGAGTGAGGCACTGGGTTCAATCCTTGGCACCACATAAATATAAAATAATGTTTATTGTGTCCACCTACAACTAAAAAATATATATTAAAAAATAGAATACATGTACAGTTAGATATGCCATTAAGAAAAATAACAAGGCCTGGAAAGTATTCATGTGTTCGTACTTCTCCATCTACTCCCAGGTATTCATTGTTCTCACACAGTTTAAGGTTTCAGCAACCAAAGGAACTTTTCCAAGAAATTCACTGTATTCCAATTTAAAGTTCTCACTCGTAATGAATTTTAGTTTTGACATGTTCATCCGGATTTGAAAGCTAAAGGGCACCATGGAAATAAGCTTATTTAATCTCAGACTTTATGCATTTGTGAAAAGGAGAGGCAAAGTGAAGTGACTGACTTAATGCCGTGAAGACTGCAGGGCTGGGGCAGAAAGCTCGGGTTGCCACTCTTCTGAGTAGAACACTCTTTACCACAGAGTCACTCATGACGCTGGGCACTCCACACAGTGCAAAATGTGCAACTCAACAATTGAGATAGATAAAAAGATCTTCTGGAATGTCTATTGTTGGGCTGGAGTGAGCTTTGTTCCTCTGTAGTAATGACCAGTCCTCTTGTACTGATTTAGGCGAAGAATGTGAAATGAATAGGGTACATTATTATTCAACACTTTTGAGATTTTTTTATTTGCCACATAAACTAATATTCCTTTGAGTTAAGAACAGGATGCTAGATTTAGAATCATTAATTAAAATTACCATAATAACCAGGTTTCAGTTTTTATTTTAATCTCATAACTTATTTTCTGATGCCATACATGCAAATTCATTAAACAGGAACTTTTAATGTTGAATTTGTCCCTACCTAAAAAAAATGCAGATCAACATGGTCTAAGTCATACTTAAATTTTCATAATTCTAATTACTCTTACTAATGTTAATATTATAAAATTTATTTTTATTTTTGGAAGAAATTTTCAGGCTCCTGAAAAAATGTTTATTAATTTATTTACATTGTTTACAAAATCTATTTATTAATTTGAAAAATTATTTCACAAATGAGAGGATACTAATGGCAGATTTTTCTAATACTATAGTCTCTTTTGGGGAGAACAATCGATTGGTGTACCAAAATCAGTTAATAGAGTGTTATTTATTGTCAAACACAAATTGAATTGTGAGTTATACCTGCAGTAAATATACATTTTGGCATGTTTCACTGTTTTGTGTATTCCATTAACAATTCTTCTATTGGTTGTTTAAATTTTCTTACCATTCTATGTCATTTTGTTGCCATACAACTTTAGTTTGAGCAGAACCCTTTCGGTTACTTAGTATTTAGTGTCTATGTTGCTGATAACTTTGAGAGTTGAGTAACTGATACAATTTTCACTGAAATTTAAACCCCTTATTTGACAGAAGAATGACTCAGCTCTAAAAATTTTCCATTTTTTAGGCAATATTTCAGCCTAAAAAAGAAAAGGTCTGACCAAAAGAGAAGACAAGGTAAAAGACAGGCATGATTCTGTGTGGAATTTTGGGACACATCTGGTAAACACTGTCATCAAGAACTTGAGTATAGAGGTTAGCATGACATACAAGAACATTGAGAATTTGCTATTAATATTGATTGTTATTTTTCTCATGCTGGGATATATTTTGACTATCAGCAAGTGCCAATTGGACAAATTGCACTCAGTGGGAAAGCTTTTTCTGAAAATAAGACTCTGTGCATTCCTCTGTGCATTGTGTATACACACACGCACACATACACACACACACATACACATATATACCTTGAAATGATACAAACTGTATATGCATACACACGCTTAGGAAATGTTTAGACATCATATAAGATAAAGACAAAATTAAAGTTAAGAAGATGTGTCCCCAACTGCTCCTATACACTCAGCCTACTACTCACAAAAACAATTATTTCTTTTATATTCTTTCAGAAGATAAAGTTACATATGAATTCATGTGTGTTTGTTTAAAAAAAAACAATCACTGTAAAACTGACTCCAGGAAAATTTCCAATCACTTATTAAAAATGCATGAACTGATAGTCTGACATGATTTCTCTACTTTGCTCAATTCACTAAGAAAAGAAAGAATATAGAATGGTTAAAGTGAGGTTGATCAGGGATAGAAGTTTTGGACCAGCCTCTCTGTGTCCTGAAAGACCCAATCATGTCATCATGGTCTTATCTGCTTCAGACCTAGAGAAAGGGGTTATTCTGGGATCATCTGAGAAGCTTACTACTGTCACGGGATTATTGAAATTGGTGTCCCATTTATCCACTTGACCAAATGAGAACCTGACAGATCAGGAGACTGGTTGGTGAGCTGTTCCACTCAAAAAGAGAGAGGTTCTGCTCTGAGTTGGTGCATACTCCTTGAGCAAAGAATGTGGGGCTGTTTTCTTCAGACCATATGTGAAAAGTGGGGAGAGTACTTACTTTGCTGAAAAAGATAAAGGTACATTGTCTCCTGAAAAGTCTACAGAAAGGTGACACAGTGATCTAATCAGGGCAAAAATAAAGATAGACCCTACATTCTACCTTAGCCAGAAACATGATTAATATAAGTTGAATAAACCGAATAGGGTACAGGTAGTTTCTAATATGTAACCAGGGAGGTAGTTTAATCTGATAAAATTTATTCCCAAAGAAGTGACATGAAGAAATTTATTTTCATGTCTGGAGATGATCCTAGCTTTCATGGGTAGTGAATTATCAAACTGAGGTCACAAAATGGCACAAAATCTCTCAATGTTGTGGGAATGGGTTAAAAAAAAAGTGAGAGTTTCCACATAATTGTGTAGTTCCATCCTCACTGAATCATAGTAAAACACTTTTAACAAGAAAATGTATTTATGACCTTATCAAAAATTTGGGTCTGGGCTCTTGGCACCATCATGAAGGGATTGCAGTGCTCAATATGGCAAGTAGGCTGACCACTCAGTGTGTTCCAAACCCTGTTGCTTCTCTATCTCACCCCAATATATACTCTTCATTGTACTTTAAATAAAGAACTAATGCTCTGGTCTAGGAAGTATGAATAAATTATAAATGCGATGAGGCATTTCCACCTGACCATATTACATTAGAAAAATCTACTTAATGTGTTTTGAAATTTACATGCATTCATAAAAGAGATTATACAACATATTTCATGTATTTTTCAAAGTTTGCATATTCGACCTGCACTCTGAGATCATGAATTGCTCTTTTAGCTGAACACATTCCTATCCACACCTTCTGTGGTTAGCTGGTGAGCTGGTAAGTTCCCTCTCCCCTTCAGTTCCCACAGAGAGTTCACTTTTATCAGGAAGCTGCTTCCAAATTTTAAAGCCTTGAGTGGTATCCTGCTCTATGCTCTAGAGAATTTTGCTCCTTCATGTAATTTTTGAGCAAAATGTATCTATGTTTAGCAGAAAATTGCTGTAGTTATACAATTATTTTTTGGATAATATTATAGGATATATATATATATATATATATATAATAGGATCCATCTATCTATGTATATATGTGCACACACACACACATATATGGCTATGCAACTGTTTTTATAAAATAGGAAACAATGAAAAAATTTTAAAAGTCATTGACATTAGAGTTTTAGTTCTTACCTTCCAAAGTCATAAAGTACAAAAGTTTTCCACAAAATGTACCTTGAAGCTACTGTGTGAAAAAGGAAACTTATCTAAAATGCCTGTTGTTTTAAACTCTAAGAACTATTGCATCAGAATAATTTAAAATAATATGAGAATGTCAAGATTAGCACTTCAACTCTATGTTGATTGGGAATTAATTATGAAAATATAAAAATAAGACCTTTTTTCCTTTGATATTTTGGCTTGCAGTCTTGTATAGGTTGATCAACCATCTCATTACAATGTTCTTGAGAGTTTCATCTACACTATTAAGAAATTAGGAATCTCCAATTATTTGATATTTTTGTGTATAATTTTTTTGTCTTTGTAGTACTGGAGTTTGAACCCAGGACCATGGGCACTCTATATAAGTAAGTGCTTTAACACTGCTACACCCCAGCACTTTTTTAACATTTTATTTCAATTCAGGATCTCGCTAGATTGCCCAAGCTTGCATTGAACTTGCAATCCTCCACCTCAGCCTCAGCACCACCCCTCCCAGCTTATGGATAATTATCTACATCTTTTACAAATTTTTTCCTCAATTGCTTTCCCTGTGCCAATTTGATTTGCCTTTGTTCTGTGATTTAGGAATTAATGTTAAAAATAGATTTAGGATGGCAGTGAACATTTATTATCCCCTGTGCCTTACCTCTTTACAAAATAAAGTGCTATATGTGAAAAAAATTTAGTTTACTTTAGTCCTTTCTTGATTCCATGTAATTTTTTGTTCATCAGATCAACTAATGCCCATGTAAACATTGGGCAGAGTATTCATTTTTTTATTGAAGGAACAAATAACATACATTGAAAGCTAAACTGGGAAACGTAATGTACCTTTGTAAAGAATTAAAGCAGAAAGTTCAGCCAAATTAGAATGAATAAAATATAGAAAATTACTGTTTGAACATTTATCTGAGGAATGATATAATTGTTCCCAGGAATACCTGTGTTAGGTGATTTATAGTTTTCTATTTTCTTTTATTCTTCATAATTATATTTTCAATTTAAGGGTAATTTGCTTACATGGGGTGATTTTATTAAAAATGTAAAATTTCATTGTTAAATTAACAATTTAAATATACCAGCTCCCTCTTTTAAATGCATAGTCTTGATGACTGTAAATGTTTTGTTCATAATTATTGCCTTCATAATTCATGTAAGCTGAAAGTGTAGTGAATTTGTGGAAACCACACTACCTAATATTACCTTTTCTTCGGCATCATCAAATTAAATCCCCAATAAGTCATATTAACATATGACTAAAAAACTCCACCTGGAAACTAGAATTTTCCAACGTTATATGACTTGCTTAGTTGATAGCATTTCAAGCATCAGCAATTATGTATTCAATGATTAATTACCTATTTCAAGCAACACTTTTTAAAGATCAACTTTCCTCATTCTAATAGAGTTCATAGAATTAGAGAAATCACTAAGCGTTTAAAAATTCCCAATTATTAAATTTCTTTGCCTAAGGATTGACTACTGAAGAGGAAAAGACACTCCTCTGTCTTGTAAGAGATTTTCCATGTCAATAATTTCACTGGATTTGAAATTTTGGAGCTGACACATTCATGCTAGAAAATGATGATCCAATAAAAACATTAGGGGTAACATGGATGGCACCTCCCCTGCCCCAGACAGGCCTCAAATGATTCCAGTTCCTGGCAGAAAACAGATCTGAAAAGGATTGTTCAGGTGGGAACTGATAAGGGTGTTGAGTCTCCAGAGACTCCAACAGTGAGAAGACATTATCACTTTAAGTCTTAAAGGGCCACAACCAAAGAACTTGTGTCATGACGAGGCAGTGAATCCTGAGCCCTCTAAAACACAAAAAGGAGGTAGTAAAGGAATAGCTGACTGGAGAGGTGAGTGACAGAATAAATGCTCTTAGGATGCAAAATTGGACGGCTGGATACTTGGAGAGACTTGAAGTTCAGTTATAGGAATAGAAAATAAGGACAGAATTTCTTTACCCCAAACAGAGACCAGGTGAAGAGGCAAGAAAGAGAGAGGGGTGGGGG